GCTGCCTCCGCCCCAGCCCGGGAGTGGTTTGTAGAAAGGCAGTGGCTCCAAGATGGGAGCACCGTCCAGCCGCGGGCACCGAATAAGCGTCGGACGCGCGGGAGAGGGGCGACGCGGGGTTGCCGCGAGGCCCTGCCGCGGGCCCTCCCAGGGCAGCCCCGGCCGCGCTGCATTCCAGGCGGGATCGCAATTGACCCTATCAGGTATATAGAATCATCCTCATTTTACAGAGGAGAAGAGTGAGGCACAGGGAGGGTTAGTATCTTCCTCGGGGACACACAGCCACAAGAGTCAAGCCCAGGCAGGCTGGCCCCAGAGCCTATGCTCTCTGCCCTGTACCTGTAATAGGAATTCATATGGGGTAATGCAGAGGGTGCCCCTTACCCCTCTGACCTGGTCTAAAGTGCCCAGGATTAGGCATCCATACTTACAGATCATTCGTTCTGGAAGTGGTCTTAGGAATAATCTAGTGCAACTCCTTGTTTCTGTGTGCAGATCCCAACAGACCGCCTTAGAAATGCTGCCTCACAGCTACATAGTGGTAGAGCTGGGATGACAGAGGAGGTCTTCATTCTCCCTGTCTAACATGCCTTTCACAATATCACATGAAGTGAAAACAAAAATCAAAGCACTACTGTACAAGGACATAATAAAACACACATCCACAAACTGAAAGGGTGTGTTTTCACTCCCATTGACACACTGGCAGAGGTTAGTGTATTCAAAGAATAGTAAGAGAAACATAGGTGGATGGACAGCTAGATAATTAGATGTACACTGTGTGCTGCCAAGGGGCTGGGACACAGGCAAAGTATGATTTAAAGGGAAAGGGAGGGACCAGAAATGTGGGGAAGAAGGGGCTCTGTCTATGGAATGGTGTCACGCAGCAGGGGGAGGCCGCATATATGACAACTTGCTCACATTTCAGTTTTATTTGGGGCTAGGTTAGCGTCTCATTCACATGGAAATAAACAGGAAATGTGTTGAATCAGAGGAGTCTAGAAATAAAGGAACAAAGATGCCCTTGAAAAAACATGGTGTCTGTCTGTGTGGTTTCTACAGACTGTCAGCTTCTTGACATTTCTCAAAGCACGGGTGCTGGGACCAAGCCCGGCCTTTACTCCAGCCTGGGAATTTGTGAACACTCTGTGTGTACCCGGAATTGATGACAGTGATTTGATTTTTCAGCTGAATGGTCAGGAAGTGGAATTACCTTTTTTCCATCTCTCGGGGAAGTTGGAGATTTATCGAGACAAAAACAGCACAACGGTGGAGTCCAGGGGCATTGTGAGTGTCCAGTATGCAGACACAGGTCTGCTGCACATCCGGCTCTCCACTATATACTTCAATTGCACCGGGGGCTTGTGTGGCTTCTTCAACGCCAATGCCAGTGACGAGTTCTGCCTCCCCAATGGCAAGTGCACGGACAACCTGGCAGTGTTTCTGGAAAGCTGGACAACTTTCGAGGAGATCTGCAATGGGGAATGTGGGGACCTGCTGAAGGCCTGCAACAATGACTCAGAGCTGCTCAAATTTTATCGGAGCCGTTCCAGGTGTGGCATCATCAACGACCCCTCCAACAGCTCCTTCCTAGAGTGCCACGGGGTGGTCAACGTGACTGCCTACTACCGCACGTGCCTTTTTCGCCTGTGCCAGAGTGGAGGCAACGAGTCAGAACTCTGTGACTCTGTGGCTCGGTATGCAAGTGCCTGCAAGAATGCTGACGTGGAGGTGGGCCCCTGGAGGACCTACGACTTCTGCCGTAAGTTGAGGCTACATTATGGGGAAGCTGACTGGGTGGTGGGGAAATAGATGAGACACTGGATCTTCTTTCTCAGGACTTCTCTTCCTGCTGGAATGGAGCACGAGGCCAGTCTGATTCCTGTGCACAGCTTCCTGAGTCTTATGTGACCTGTGGAAGGCCCATTACCCTAAACCAAACTGTTCCTCACCTTTAGTTTTGTTTCTAATTACACAATATCTCTTCACTGTAGAACAATTAGCCACCCTTTTGACTGGTGGTTTTATCTAACACACATCATGTCAGAGGACCAGAAAGCTTTGTGTGATGGCTCACTTGGTGCCTTCTCTCTTGGCAAAGAAGGTCCAATTCATTTAAATAAGTGATCAGTCAGGGTGCCTTTCATGGAGTAGAGATTAGCACTGTTCCCTGGGCACACTTGACAATGGCTATTAAGAGAATCTCACATTGCTGGTTTTTAACTTTGTTCCCAGAGTATCTGACCCCCCTCAGCAGGGCAGTGGTAGTACTAGTAATAATTAGAATAATTGCTGGGAGTAACTGACATAAGACACTCTTGGTTATGTGGGAGGAGTAATGTGGAAAAATAGGAGTGGCTGGGAGGGTGGGACCTACGCCTGGAGCAGGGACTGCACCACTGGATTTCAGCATCTGTCCGTTTCTCACCCAAAAGCTTAACCCTAAACCAGAACTGATGCCACCAGTAAGAGTCCATCCTCTACATTTGTTTATTTCTCTACCATTTTATTTCTTCATACCTAGGTTTGTTTATTTTAAAAAGTTATTTTGAAATAATTTCAGAGTTACAGAAAAGTTGCAAGAATATGTATATACCCTTTACCCAGATTAGCCTGTTGTCAGCACTGTGTCCCACTTGCTTTTCATTCTCTCTCTCCCTCCATTTGAAAGTACGTTGTATGCCCCTTTGTCCCTAAATACTTCAGTGTGTATTTCCTTAAAATAATGACTCTCACAGAATAAATTTAATATTGATATAATAGTTTAACATCCATATTTCAGTTTTAAGTATTGGCTCAGTAATATCCTTTATGGTTTTTTATCCCCTCAATACTGATCTAGTCTAGGACCAAAAGTTGCATTTAGTGTTCATGTCTCTTTAGTCTCCTTTAATCTGGAACACTTCCTTAGCTTTATTTGCCTTTACTGACATTGTCATTTTTAAAGAATACAGCCTCTGCTTTTTAAAAATAAAATGGCCCTCCATTTGTGTTTGATATTTTCTCATGATTAGGTTCTGCTGTACATCCCTACTCAGACTCTGACACAGGTGATGTGCGCTTTTCTCACAGTATCACATCCCAGGAGGGGCACACTCTGTCCAACCTTTTCTCTCGTGTGTGATAAGCGGATTGATACCCTGGTGTTGTCAAATGTCTCTACTCTATAGTCATTATGTTTTTCGTCTTGCAAATAATGAGCAATCTGTGAGGAGATACTTTGAGACCATACAAGTGTGCTGCATGTCATCAAAACCCCCTCATCGATTTAGTGCCCACTGAGGATTTTTGCTTCTCTCAGTCTGGAGCATGACGATTACACACTGATGACTTCCAGATGCATCACACTCTCCTTCTTTCGGCCTGTCTGCCTTTCATCCATCCATCCATCTATTTATCTGTCTCAGTCATCTGTCTCTCTTATCAATATGGATACACGGGTTTCTAATTTTCTCAATGATTTATACTTCATATTACATTTGTTAATTATTTTGGTGTCAAAATTGTTCCAGATTTGGCCTGTGGGAGCCCCTTCAAGTTGCCTCCTATGTTCTTTTGGCATGCCTCTGTCATTTTCTTACTTTCTGGCATAAAAAAATTCCATACTCCTCTCTTAACCTTCTCCAGTTCCAGACTATAATCAGCCATTATTCCAAGAAACCCCAATTCCTTTTGGTCGGGAATGCATTAGAACACAAGATCTGGATGAGGCTTATCCATTGCTATTGGAGCATTCTTGCTTTATTTCTAAGCCCTTTCAACAGAAACATCTTAGAGCTAAGCACTAACACACACACACACACACACACACACACACTCTTGTCTATTGAAATCTCTGGTTTCTGGGCTTTGGAAGTTCAAGGTGCACTTGGAGTGTTTGGTGGCTGTCATCTCAGAAAGGGCAGTTATATACCTGGTGAACCTTACCTGTACTTGGGAGGAATTAATAGCAGAGCTGTGGACCCTAAAGCTGGAATTCTGGGAGCATATTCTCATAAAGTCACCTACAGGGAGAGAGGTTCCAGTGTTCTATGGACCGTCACATCTAGTCGAACCTTATAATACTTCCCCAAAGCCTTTCTTTTAAACCCACTTCCATCCTACTCCTCTGTGCCATCTCTAATATGATCTCTGTTCCCGCTCCAGCACTCGGGCATGGAATTGCTGAGTCTGCCCCATGCCAAATCCATGTGGTTGTCAGGCTGTGCCCATGCCATTCTGTTAGAATATGAGCTCCTGCCCAGCAGGAAGTGTTCCTGGGTTGTTTTTGAACTGCACGGAACATGGTTTGGTGGCATTGTTTATATGAAGTAAGTGCAGCGGGACAGTGACGAGTCCCTCTTTTCCTGGATGTGATGGCTATGCCATCCCTTACCTGGGCCTGCAGATAGCTCTTGTATGTACCTTTTATAGAGAGAGATGTTGGACAGAAGTGTGGCTTCTTTGGGTGAAAGGCCAGGGCTCATATTTGAGATGTCCTCCAGGATGTCTCATCCAGACCTGGTGGACATGGTACTGGCAAGAACTGGAACATGCACCCTTGATTAGTCAGGTCACTGGGTACTAAGGAGTTAATCTGGTTGGGGTCTTGAAGAATGGGGATTAGATTGGGCAACACTTGCAAAGCAGTCTTCTTTGGATTTAGAGAGAGACAACCACTGTTCAGTGTTTACATACATTGGCAGAGCCAGGCTGCCCAATTAAAATAATTTCACAAAGGCATTTTGGGATTCAGGGGATGTTTATTACTTATATCTGTATGTCTCAGTCTTTCAGACAAATTCAGACAACACGGTAAGTCATAAAGCGTGAGCTATTTAAATGTCACATTATTTGCTATCACCATAAATCTGCAGTCAGTATTATAACATTCATAATTTAGAGACAATTTAATCAGTGCTGAACTAGCCTTCAACTCCGACTCTGTATGGTGTTGCAGTCAACAGGGGTAGCCCAGAAAAGAAAATGATTGCTTTTAGTACATAGTGCAGAACTGTAGCTGGTACTTGTGGGCAGAGCTATTATTGCCATGCAACTTAATTCTCTGTGTTATCCTTCATGTCCTTGGATTCTGAAATTGTTAAAGAGTAATAGTACGCACAAGAGCTAAAAAAAATTTCAAAGGCAAGATCTTACTCTCGTAGGGGAAGGTGGGGACTTTCACAGGTGTTTGGAGCACACAGACATGTAGGCAGATTTCTTCTGTGCTCCTGGATTCGTCTCTGCCCATGTCAAATTTTGACAAACTAAAGTAATGAAGAGAATGGGAAGAGTACCTGGAACTCCATGGTGAGCAGCACACACTGTTGTTATTTGATGTGCTGTGCTTTGTGACTCAGACTTGATTTGTCAAGGAAGCTTCTGGGCAGAAGTGCAAGTTGAAATAAAACTTGAAAAATCATAGGAATTGGCTTTGTGAGGCCATCCAGGTGGGCTCTCCAGGTGGGGGAAAGTGTGAGCCAAGGAGGTAGAGGTGACCACATGCAGAAGGTGGTGAGGAGGTGAAAGAGGCCAGAGGAGGCAGATAAGGGAAATGAAAGACAAAGGGAAAGACCAATTTGTAGAATAAAAATACCTTAATAAAGTCTATCCATAGTAGAAGGAAGAGCAAAGCAGGGAAAGGGCCTGAGACTCTACTGTAGACTTAGCTTATTGATCCTCGGAACAACCAGGCTAAGTAAGCATTGTCCTTATTTAATAAAAGAAGAAACTGAAGCTCAGAGATGGTATCCACAGCATTTGTTCCTACAGGACACTCTCTCCCCAGGGTCTTTGAGTCAGGACACTTAGTGTTGGGAGATCTGGATTCGGGTCTCTCTCCAGTACTTACCAGCAGGATTAAGCTAAGTCACTGAACTTCCATTTCCTCATCTATAAGGCAGGGATGATAAGACTTGCCTTACCTTCTCTGTCACTGAAAGAAGTTACATTAAAGTGCCTAGAACAGTGCCTGGCATGTAGCAGGAGCTCAGTACAGGCTCACAGAGAGCTAAGTGCACTAAAGAAGCATAAGAATGAGGGGTTTACTGAGCCTTTGATGACCCCAGATGAGGATGACATGGCATTTATCAAGCTCACTGTGCTGTCAAATAAGAGAGCACACGTGGTACACCCACACACGCACATGCTCACACACACGTACACACATGCACATACAGTACACACACATGCACACACATGCACATGCATGCTCATGGGTGCACCCGCAGTCCGTGACCTCTATCCCTCTCTCAAGCCTGTCTTCTCCTTGACCACCTCCAGCCCTGGACTGCCCGGAGAACAGCCATTTTGAGGAGTGCATGACCTGCACAGAGACCTGCGAGACCCTGGCCCTGGGCCCCATCTGCGTGGACAGCTGCTCTGAGGGGTGTCAGTGCGACGAGGGCTACGCCCTGCAAGGTAGCCAGTGTGTCACCCGGAGCGAATGCGGCTGCAACTTTGAGGGGCACCAGCTTGCCACCAATGAGACCTTCTGGGTGGACCTGGACTGCCAGATCTTCTGCTACTGCAACGGCACGGACAACAGCGTGCACTGCGAGACCGCGCCCTGCAGGGAGGACGAGTTCTGCCTGGAAGAGGGCGGCTTGTTCTACTGCCAGGCCCGCACGGACGCCTCCTGCATCGTCTCGGGCTACGGGCACTACCTGACCTTCGACGGCTACCCCTTTGACTTCCAGACCAGCTGCCCGCTCGTTCTGTGCACCGCAGGAAGCAGGCCAGGCGCGGACGCCTTCCCCAAGTTCATCGTCACGGCCAAGAATGAGGACCGGGACCCGTCTCTGGCCTTGTGGGTGAAGCAGTTGGACGTGACCGTGTTTGGCTACAGCATCGTGATTCACAGGGCCTACAAGCACACTGTGCTGGTGAGTGCTCACGGACGCGAGCTGGGGGCGTCCTGGGGCCAGGGGGACGAGGGTCCTGGGCCGCAAGCTGGGCTGCAGCTGAATCAGGCTGGTTCAGAATCTAAGGAGAGGCATCGATAGGGTGTGAGAGCAGAGAAAGGCCCTGGAGGTTTTCTGTCTCTCTGTTTTACACGTAAGAAAGCTGAGCCTCAGAGAGAAAAATGATCTTCCCAAGTCGCAGGTGCCAAATTAGGCACCAGCTCTAGAAGTGGTACCTTTCGGGTTGCAGCGTAGGATGTTGGAGACAGCGCAGACCCGAGTCAGAGGCAGCTTGGCTACCACTGGCCTTGGGCAGTCACCGCCTCTGGCAGAGGGAACCCGTGCCCCGTGCAGGTTAGGCGTCTAAAGAGTGGTGCTATTGTCTGATCCACCTCCTTCCATATTCGGGGTCAGAATAATATTTGCCTGCTCTGGCCTCTTCCCCCCTCTTCCAGTCTCCCTGTTGGCTCTCACAGGATTGGGAGTTCGAGTCTTGCCATCATCTGAAGGACTCAGGCTCTCTGCTCACAGAGGCCTGGGTTTCTTCTTTCTGCCCTTCCCACCCCTCATTCCCTTGACAATGAAGAGAGGAGCAAGCAGAAGCTGAGGAGCTCTGTGCACTCCCCGGCCAGGCTGAGGGCATCAGAAGCAGCAGGCCCAGCCTGGTCCAAGGCCTTGCTCTAATCATAACTTGGACACAAGCCAGCCCGCAGCCCCTGGCTGAGCATTTCGGAGGGGCTGATTTAGGATGTTAGACTTTCCACATTTCGCTCGTTGATCTGTGGCATGATTGATTTCTAAGGGGGCTCCTTTTCACCGTGTATACATTCTCTTTAAAATTCTGAGCTGTCACCTTAAGAGTTCCCTGGACAAGTCTACTGATACTTTCCTCCCTGAGGATTTCCTGAACCTCCTTCTCTGACAAAGAGGTTTCTGAGCTTCATAAACTGCTGTCCCTTTCACATTTTTTGGAAAATGTGCCTTAGCATCTAAGGTAGAGGTCTCACTATGCCCATTCTTCCCTTTCTTGGATATTATACCTAAATCCCTGATTGTTTTCCTCTGTGCTTCTCATAACAGTTGGTTACTGTATCCATTATTACATTAATCATGCTGTGTTTTTTGTGATGTTCATACTAACTCAGTTCTAACCGTGCATTTCTTGAGGGCAGGAGCCACACCTAATTCATCTTTATATTAAATCAATATACAGTGACCTGCATGTCATGACACTCACATTTGTCAAGTGAGTGAATGAGACGACATAATAACACCTTTCTTCCAGGGTTCCTATGACTTTCATTTTGCTGCTGGTCACATTTGCAGCAATCTAGGAGATTAAATTGCCACTGGGGAAAATTAGAAATATATCAGATACTTTGCTTTTAGCATGTAAGGTTTCCAACAGATATCTGGATAGTTTAAGCTGGACATTACAATAACTTCCCTATAATCCATTTTCATCATATGTGTTAGACTTATCAGTCATTGATCATTTGATGTATCACTACCCTTAGATTTATACATTTTTTTAGAATTTTATTTTTACTTTTAATTTTTATTTTTCAATTGCAGTTTACTCTCTATTATTTTGTATTGGTTTCAGGTATACAGCATAGTGGTTAGACAATCATATACTTTACAGAGTGTTCCTCCAATATTTCCAGTACCCACCTGGTACCATTCAAAGTTATTATAATTATCATTGACTGTATTCCTTATGCTGTACTTAACATCCTCATTACTATTTTGTAACTACCAATCTGTACTTCTCAATACCTTCACCTCTTTAATCCAGTTTCCCAACCTCCCTTCCCTCTGGCAACTACCAGTTCATTCTCTGTGAGTCTCTTTCAATTTGCTTGTTCCTTTTTTTTGTTCCTTAGATCCCACAGATAAGTAAGTTCATATGGTATTTGTCTTTCTCTAACTGAATTATTTCACTTATTATAATACTCTCTAGGTCCATGCATGCTGTCACAAATACTAACATTTTATTATTTTTTATGGGCGAGTAATATTCCATTGTATATTTGTATCACCACTTTTTTTATCTCCTTGTCTATTGATAGGCACTTGGGTTGCTTCCATATATTGGCTATTGTAAATAACACTGCAATGAACAGAGGGGCACATATATCCTTTCCAATTAGTGTTTTGGATTTCTTCAGATATAAAACCAGAAGTGGAATCGCTGGGTCATAAGGCAGCTCCATTTTTAATTTTTTGAGGACCCTCCATACTGTTTTTCACAGCAGCTGTACAAATTTACAGTCCCACCAACAGTGTACAAGGGTTCTCTTTTCTCCACATCTTGTCAACACTTGCTGTTTGTTGATTTATTGATGGAGCCATTCTGACAGGTGTGAGGTGATATCTCATTGTGGTTTTAATTTGCATTTCTCTGATGATTAGTGAAATTGAGCATCTTTTCATATGTCTATTGGCCATCTGTGTGTCCTCTTTGGAGAAGTGTCTATTCAGGTCCTGTACCCATTTTTAATGGAATTGTTTGGTATTTTGGTAGTGAGTTGTATGAGTTCTTTATAAATTTTCTATATTAATCCCTTATTGGATGTATCATTTGCAGATATCTTCTCCCATTCAGTAGGTGTTTTTATTTCCTTGATGGTTTCCTTTGTTGTGCAAAAATTTTCAGTTTGACATAGTCCTATTTGTTATTTTTTTCTTTTGGTTCCCTTGCCTGAGAAGATACAGCAGAAAAAATATTGCTAAGAAATGTCAGAGAGTTTACTGGCTATGTTTTCTTCAAGGATTTTAATGTTTTCTAGTCTTACATTTAAGTCTTTAATTCATTTTGAGTTTATTTTTGTGTGTGGTGTAAGGAGGAGTTCAAGTTTTATTTTTTTGCATGTTTCTGTCCAATTTTCTCAGCACCATTTATTGAATGGACTGTCTTTATCCATTCTATGTTCTTGCCTCCTTTGTCATATATTCGTTGACCATGTAGGCATGGTTTTATTTCTAGGCTCTTGATTCTGTTCCATTGACTTATATGTCTGCTTTTATGCCAGTATCATGCTGTTTTGATTACTATAGCCTTATAGTATAGTTTGATATCAGGTAGTGTGATGCCTCCAACTTTGTTCTACTTTGTCAAGACTGCTGAGGCTATTCAGGGTCTTCTGTGATTCCATATATGTTTTTGGATTATTTGTTCTGTGAAATATGCATTGGTTTTTTAATTTTTATTATTTATTTATTTATTTATTTTTAAACATATCTTTATTGATTTCAGAGAGAGGAAAGGAAGGGAGAGAGAGATAGAAATATCAATGATGAGCGAGTCATTGATCGGCTGCCTAGCCCGCAACCCGGGCATGTGCCCTGACCAGGAGTCAAACCCCGATCGATCGCCTGGATCCTAGGTCGATGCTCAACCGCTGAGCCACGCCCGGCAGGGCGCCATTGGTTTTTTAAATAGGAATTGTGTAGAATCTATAGATTGTATTGGATACTATGGACATTTTGATTATGTTAATTCTTCCTATCCGTTAACACAGTATATGATTTCATTTATTTGTATATTCTTTGATTTTCTTCAGCGTCTTATAATTTTCAAAGTACAAGTCTTGGTTAAATTTATTCCTAGGTATTTTATATTTTTGATGCAGTTGTAAATGGTATTGTTTTATTAGTTTCCCTTTCTGATAGTTTATTATTTTTGTACAAAAATACAACTGATTTCTGAATATTCATTTTGTATCCTGCTACTTGACTGAATTCATTTATCAGTTCTAGTGGTTTTTTGGTGGAGTCATTAGGGTTTTCTATATACAGTATCATGTCACCTGCAATTAATGACAGTTTTACTTCTTCCTTTCCAATTTGGATACCTTTATTTCCTCATCTTGTCTCATTGCTGTGGCTAGAACCTCCAGAACTATGTTGAATAAGAGTGGTGAAAGCAGACATCCTTGTCTTGTTCAAGGTCTTAAGGGAAACACTTATAGTTTCCCTGCATTGAGTGTGATGTTTGCTGTGGGTTTGTCATATATGGCCTTTGTTATGTTGAGGTATGTTTCCTCTATTTCCACTTCACTGAGATTTTTTTTTATCATAAGTGGGTGCTGGGTTTTGTCTAATCTTTGTCTGCATCTATTGATGTGATCATATGATTTTTATCCTTCATTTTGTTTATGTGGTGTATCACATTAGTTGATTCATGAATATTGTACCAATCTTGCATCCTAAGAATAAATCCCACTTGATCATGGGGCATGATATTTTTAATGTATTGCTAGGTTTGGTTTGCTAATATTTTGTTGAGTATTTTTGCATCTATGTTCATCAGGGATATTGGCCTATAATTTTCTTTTTTTAAATCTTCTCCTGAGGGTATGCTTATTGATTTTTTTAGAGAGAGAGGCAGGGAGAGAAAGAGAGAGGGGGGAGAAACATCAGTGTGAGAGAAAAACATCAATCATTTGCCTCCTGCATGAGCCCCTATGGGGGAATTGAACCTGCAACCTAGGTATGTGTCCTGACCTGGAATCAAACCTGCAGCCTCTTGGTGTATGGGATGACACTCCAACATATTGAGCCACCTTGGCAGGGCTATAATTTTCTTTCTTTGTAGTGTCTTACCTGGTTTTGGAATTAAGATAATGCTGGCCTCAAAAAATGCTGTTTGGAGTGTTCCTTCCTCTTGATTTTCTTTTTTTGAAATAGTTTGAGAAGGATAGGTGTTAGTTCTTCCTTGAATGTTTGTTAAAATTTACCTGTGATGCCATCTGGTCCAGGACTTTTGTTTTCTGGGAGTTTTTAAATTATTATTATTATTACTGCTTTGATATCATAAGTTGTAACTGGTCTGTTCAGGTTTTCTGATTCTTCTTGATTCAGTTTTGGAAGTTTTTATTTTTCTAGGAATTTATCCAGTTCTTCCACAGTGTCCAATTTATTGACATCTCATTGTAATATTTTCTTATAACCCTTTTGATTTCTGTAGTGTCACTTGT